TCTCATTAAACCAGACTTCGCCATAGTGATGAATATGTATAGAGAAAGGTGGAGTTGTCTCTATGGAAGAGGGACGCCAGCCGCATCCATGGCCTCCGATACGACAATGTGTGATACCATTGACAAACATTGGCCTTTCTTACCGCACCCGCACCGTCAAAGGGTGGTTCTAGTTGTTGTTGCCCGCAAGGCACCACACCACCATGCACGGGCAACCACCAAGGGACCACCGGTCGCTTCTTGATGGATTTTAATCATTGAAGGGTAGCTATCCCATCCGATCATAAGGTTGCAACTGTTATCAGCCTCACGCTAATCGTGTCAAGTTGTGCTGACTCTTTGTCCATTTCCGGAAGCCAAGAGATAGAATATGTAGAAATCCAACCCTTTGTCCGTTGCTAAGAGCCGATGAAATGAAGTTATATAAAAATGTGTAGCCTTTTGTCCATTGCTGGAGCTAAATGAGATAATAAATCTGACCCTTTGTTAATCGCTGAGAGCTGTGTAGATATAATAAAATCAGCCGGTTGTCCGTTGATGAGAGCCACGCAGCAAAATAGGCTCTCTATTCATTGTTGGGAGCCAAAATATGTAATAGTAAATATCATTGCAAAGGACATGACCGTAAAAAATGCCCAGCAATGTTGCGTAGATAACGTGGCTATGTCTGGCCATGTCTAAGGGAATGCTGCTGAAGTAGAACATGTTTGTACCATTCCCAGCGAAGTGGGTAAATGTCACTCCTGGCGATATATCAGAGAATAATGTTGGGCGCTGCTTCTAGCAATGTGGACTCCTTTGCAACAATTAATAAAAATTAGGAACTGCGTGTTCAATGTGAGAAGTGAGTGTTGTGGGCCTTTGTTGATGTGGATCCACACACGTTATTGGTGATGTAACCATATAAATTTATCTCTCAACAGTATCTAATTACTTTTATTAATTATCTTAATGTAAAAAGTTTAGCTTTTATCTTTTGAATTTCTTTAAAAGGTAAAAGTAAATATATAAATTGTTATTGAATTCTCAATTAAAAAAATAAAAAAATAATTATTTTAAAATTTAAAAAATAATAAAATTTATTCATTTTATTCAA